GAAAATTCAAGGGACAAAAAACGTGTTCGTGTTCGAGATCGTGGTCAGGTCAGGAAGAAATGCTGGACATCTACTCACACTGAGGCTTTCAAAAATCTGGCACTGTCTGCCTGAGAGCTGAATATAACTGCTGGTGAACAGGTGGAAGACATGAGCCTGATTGTGCTCCAGCGCAGCAGCATGCAGGTGAACCAGATGAGCTTGATGAGAGGAGAGTACTAAGGAGAAAAACATAGCAGGCAGACAGGCCAGAAACATGACAGTACCCCCCTCCTAAGGTCTGGCTCCCGACGGGCCCTTCGGCTGATCAGGATGGAGGCGGTGAAAGTCCCTCAGGAGAGTCTTGTCGATGACAAAACGACCAGGAATCCAGGTCCGTTCCATATCCTTCCCAATCAACCAGGTAATGGACACCACGTCCCCTTCTCTTGGACCGAAGGACGCGGCGTACGGTGTAGATGGGGTCCCCATCCAAGAACTGAGTGGGCGGGAGGGGTCTGGAGGCAGGCTCAAGACGAGGTGAGGTGTAGGGTTTGACCCGAGACACATGGAATGTCGGGTGAATCTTCATGGAACAGGGCAGCTGTAGCCGGACCGCCACTGGGTTCACAACCTTGGAGATGGGGAAGGGACCAATGAAACGAGGTGCCAACTTCCGACTCTCCACCCGTAGGGGGAGATCCTTAGACGACAACCAGACCTTCTGGCCAACACGGTAGATGGGTGCTGGGACTCTATGCCGATTAGCAGATCTGGATTGCACCTCTGACGACTTGATCATGGCCCTCCTGGCCTTCCTCCAGATCCGTTGGCACCTCATAGCTGCAGCGTGAGCGGAGGGGACCTTAGCCTCCCTCTCCTGAATAGTGAACACCGGTGGCTGGAACCCATGGACAATGTAGAAGGGCGAAAGACCAGTGGAGCTAGAGGGAAGCGCATTCAAGGCGTGTTCCACCCATGGTAGGTTGTGTGACCACCTGGTAGGGTCAGAGTCACAAAGGATACGAAGCTTGGTCTCTATCTCCTGGTTAGCCCTCTCGGTCTGCCCATCAGTTTGGGGATGGAAACCAGACGATAAACTGACGGAAATGCCAAGCATGGTGCAGAACTCCTTCCAGAAACGAGAGACAAATTGAGGTCCTCTGTCCGAGACGATGTCAGTGGGAAGCCCGTGGAGGCGGAACACCTCCCGTGCCATGATCTCCCCCATTTCCTTTGCAGAGGGGAGTTTCTTGAGGGGGACCAGATGGACCATCTTTGAAAATCTGTCAACGACAGTTAACAAGACAACAAATCCATCAGAACTGGGCAAACCTGTGACAAAGTCCATAGCGATGTGCGACCAAGGGCGTGATGGGATGGGAAGGGGCCGCAGCAACCCTGAGGGTGGGCGTCGAGACGACTTTGCTTGGCAGCATTGATGACAGGTCGCAATGAACTCCTTAATATCCTTGGTCATTGAGCCCCACCAGAATTGAGACTGGACAATCCTTAAGGTCTTGCTGATGCCTGGATGACAGAACAGACGGGATTTATGGCAGAACTTGAGTACCTTAGGAACCAGATGTTCCGGGACGAACAGCCTGTCGGGGGGGCAAGAAGCTGGGACCAGAAGACCTCGGGTGGCGCCCCTGACCTCCTCCTCCAGTTCCAACATGGTTACAGACAATCTCACCGAGTCTGGGAGGATAAACTCCTCTGTACCAGCGGCCATCAACTCCGAGGATTCGTGAATCCTTGACAAGGCATCCGGTTTCATGTTCTTGGTCCCAGGTCTGTAAGAGAGTGTAAAATTGAACCGTCCAAAAAACAGAGCCCACCTAGCCTGCCTGGGGTTGAGCCGTTTGGCTGCCTTCAAGTACTCCAGATTCTTGTGGTCCGTCCATACTAGAAATGGTTCCTTGGACCCCTCCAGCCAATGCCTACATTCCTCTAGGGCCAGCTTGACGGCCAAAAGCTCCCTGTCCCCCACATCATAGTTCCGCTCGGCACTGGATAGAGTCCTAGAAAAAAAGGCACAAGGATGAATACGACCGTCAGTGGTTCTCTGACTTAGGACAGCGCCTACCCCAGTGCTAGAGGCATCGACCTCCACAAGGAACTGTCTCTCAGGATCAGGGGTCTGGAGAACTGGAGCAGAGGTGAACAAAGACTTGAGCCGGGAGAAGGCCTCCTCTGCCTGCCTGCTCCAACTGAACTGGACCTTGGATGAGGTAATGGCATGAAGCGGAGATGCTACTTGAGAGTAATTACGAATGAACCGACGGTAAAAGTTAGCAAATCCAAGAAATCTCTGTAGCTGTTTGCGGTCTGTGGGTGTGGGCCATTCGGAGACTGCTGAAATCTTAGCGGGATCCATGATCACCTTGTTAGGGGAGATTATGTAGCCAAGAAAAGAGGTGGTGGTGGTATGGAACTCGCATTTCTCTGCCTTTACAAAAAGATGATTCTGGAGGAGGCGGAGAAGAACCTGCCGAACATGGTACTTGTGGGAATCCAGGTCCTGAGAGTAGATAAGAATGTCATCAAGGAAAACAAATACAAAGTGCCCAACCATGTCCCTCAAGACATCATTGACCAGAGCTTGGAAGACTGCTGGTGCATTGGTTAACCCAAAGGGCATGACCAAGTACTCGTAATGACCAGTGGGGTTGTTGAATGCGGTCTTCCACTCGTCTCCTTCCCTGATGCGAACAAGATGATATGCGTTGCGCAAGTCTAATTTCATGAAAAACTTGGCTCCTTGGATCTGGTCAAAGGCAGTATTCATGAGGGGAAGGGGATACCGATTCTTAACAGTAATGTCATTAAGACCCCTGTAATCTATACAGGGCCTTAAAGACCCATCCTTCTTGCCTACGAAAAAAAATCCAGCACCAGCAGGAGACGAGGATGGGCGAATGATTCCCGTCTTTATAGAATCCTCTACATACCTCCTCATTGCTTGGTTCTCAGGAGCAGACAGTGAATATAAATGTCCCTTGGGAGGTGATGTACCTGGAAGGAGGTCAATGGCACAATCGTAGGGGCTATGAGGGGGAAGGGCTGTTGCCCGGGACTTATTGAACACCTCCTTCAGATCATGGTACTCAGGTGGCACTTTGGATAAGTTTCTTCGATGGCATTGTCTGGAAAAGAAGGGGTGCAAGCAGAGAGCAAACAGGTAGCAGAGCAGGACTTCGACCAGCCCAAAATTTCCTTGGCCTGCCAGTCAATGTGAGGATTGTGCTTGTTAAGCCATGAGGCCCCCAAAACGATGGGTAGCTGTGGTGAGTGGATAATAACAAAAGTGATCTCCTCCTGATGATTACCACCAAGCATCAGACTGACCTTTTCTGTGATGAGGTGGGACTGGCTAATATGATGTCCATCCAAAGCTAGAACATTATGGACCGATGAAGTGTGGAGGAGCTTGATGTTGAGGCCCCTGGCAAAAGATTCATCCATGAACTCTGTATCAGCTCTGGAGTCAATGAAGACTGATACCTGGTGGGGAATGGAGGAGACCACAAGGTTAGCAGAGAAAGAAAATGATGAGGAGATGGACAACATGCTATGGATCAGTAGAACTCCCCTATCCTCTACTGAGCCTGCCCTTTTAATGGACACTTGGCCGCCATATGACCCTTGCCTCCACAGTAAAAACATAAATTAAACTGCCTTCTGCAAGAACGTTCCTCCATGGAGATCCTTGTTCTCCCCAACTGCATCGGCTCAGGATCTGGTGCCTCAACTGAGGGTAGGGAGAAGCTTGTGGCTTTGGACCAAGGGTCTGAGTGGCCAAATGGGGCCGATGAGGCCTCCTTGTGATGTCTCTCCCTTCTCCTTTCAGTGAGACGCAGATCTATCCTAGTCGCCAAATCTTCAAGATCCTTGAGGGATTTAGGATAATCTCGGGTGGCCAACTCATCCTTGATATTTTCATTAAGGCCTTGCATGAACACATCCATTAATGCCTCCTGATTCCACCTACTGTCTGCAGATAACAGGTGAAAATCAATAATATAAGCGGCAACACTCCTACCACCCTGTTTTACGGATAGTAGCCCCCTAGCTGCCTCTCTCTCAGGGAGGATGGGGTCGAAAACCCTGATCAGTTCCTTAGAGAACGCAGAATAGGTCAAACAAGAATCCGATTCATTCTGCCATTCTGCTGTGCCCCACTGTTTGGCCTTACCGGACAGAAGTGAGATCACAAATGCCACCTTAGAACGTTCAGTAGGGAAAGAGGAGGGCTGCAACTCAAAGTGGATCTCACACTGAGTGAGGAAAGCACGGCACTGGTCTGGGTCCCCTTTGAACAGCTCGGGAGGGGTCAGACGAGGCTCCTTGACCACAGCAGGCTGAACTGCAGGGGCTGGTTGGCTAGGTGTCTGTGATTGTGCCTGGTCAGGGGGAGAAGACATGTTACGAAGCGTGGTAATGATCTCATTCATGCCAGTATTAAGTCGACTGATCGCACTTTCAACATTGCTGCGCCACTCTTGTGCTGACGAAGGGTCCATTTTTGGCCAGATTTTTCTGTAATGATCAGAACTGAGGACCCGAAATTTCAGTCAGACACAAAGTACAAAATAATAAGTTCTTTATTGAGGATCAGGGTATGGGACAGGCAACCACCAGCAATGGGACAGGAACCTCTGAGGACAGAGAAGCAGGTCAGTGGGTTGTATTCTTGGAGGGGGAGGCCAAAGCTGAATAGAAAAAGTCACTAACCTTCTTAGTGTTGTGGAGGATGAGGGGTC